CCGAAAGGGAAGCGGCGAGTTGGTCGTCAGTGCATGGGTGACTTGGAGGAGGTCATGTGAAGAGGAGATGAAAACGTGTGGGCAGACATGGAGCCAGGTGAAGACTCTAGCAGAGAACCGAATGCAATGGAGACGCACGGCTAAAGCCCTATGTTCCTGTAGGAATTAAAGGATATAATAATAATAATAATAATAATAATAATAATAATAATAATATGGATAGTTATTAATATTTGCCTCATGTAAGTGTACAAATATGAAACGGCTGTACTACATTATTCTCCTATCTGACTCAACATGGAAAGCGCTGACACCTCTGATTGGTCGACACAACTTACAACGTTGACAGTGCCTTTAAAATTATGTCGTGAAGAATAGCGCCGCAGTAGTTGTAGAATTTTATGGGATTTTATGAAGGAATATATATATATATAAGCTCAAGTTTACCGATCCATTGGTGCCGGTAGTACTAAAATATAATTCCACTTATTTTAGATTCATAAGCTAAGAATAACTAAAGCCGCTGAAGGTTTTGTAGTTACTGATTCAAACACAGTGATTGATTTTTCAGAGGAGCAAGATTCATTGGTATGCGGATACTGGTAATCTTTCGAAATAAATTGACTAGGGTTATATGACAACCTCGCCTAGTTTACTAGCTTGCTAGTTTTCTAGCCAGTCCCGAGCCCGGGTAGACGGAGGTTTAGGCGTGTAGCTAGCGACCCTACACCAAAAAAGCTATCAAGCTGCTATAGAAATTTTAAAGCACAAGCAAAATAGCAAAAATACCGAAAAATATAAAATATAAACTTATTCTTCGCTGGAATCGGAGAGGCGAAATGCCGTAGCGGGCTGGTGAAAGTCGTCAGGAAGCCAGTCGGCTGATTTGTTTTCTCTCGATGAAAGCAAGAATGATAATGGGGACGTGGAAGGCACTGTTGGAGTGGCTATAATGATGTCACCAGTGGCAGCCAAAGCTCTAATGCAGTGAGAACCACTCACCTCGTGCAGGATCATGACAGCAACATTCAACTCAAAAGGCAGGAAGGAAGGTTACAATCATTCAGTGCTGCGCACCTACAAACAACTCAGAAGAAGAGAAGAAGGAAGATTTTTATAGACAACTTGAAACAGTAATGGACAACATCTCAAATGGTGACGTCAGAATCCTCATGGACCATATAAATGACAGTGGAGCTGGGAGCAGATAATACAGAAAGAGTATTCATCATGTATCGAGAGGCTCTCGCCCAGCGAAGTGATTGATAACGGAGGACTCTTTGTAGGCTTCTGCGCCTTCAGTGATTCGGTGGTCTGAGGCAACATGTACAAACACAAGGACAGCAACATGGGTTTTGCCTGACAGATACACCACAAATCAAATAGACCTCATCTCAATGTTGGTTAAGGAAGTGGCGACGCAGCTAACCTGCTGGCACAAAGTCGAGAGGTGGAGCAGATGTGGGCTCAGACCATGATCTAGTTAAAAGAACCTTCAAGGTGAAGCTGAGACCTTTCAAAAAAACTAGAAACAGGCCACAATGCAAGTTCAACATTCAGGAACTGAAGGACAAAACTACAAGGAATACCTTCACTACACATCTAATCAGAGCAAAGTCGGAGACATTACGTAGCATTACTGAGGAAACCTGCTTGGAAGAACATTAGAACTCTCTGAAGGCGATATTCAGGGAGGTCGGTGCAACTGTTCTAGGAAGAAAGAAGAGATAAGACAAGTAATGGCTCCCAACGGATACCTACCTGGAAGCTAATAGAAGAGAGGAGGATGGTGAAAGAGATGACTCAATGCAAAGATGAACAGCAGAAGGAGAAGCTGAGTTCAATGTACGCTGCACAAAATAAAGAATTGAAGAGTGCTAGGAAAGACAAAAGACAATTCTACGACACGCAACTGAAGTAGAAGAGGTGAGGCGAAGGTAAAAGTGACCTTAGAACACTATGTGAGATAACCAGGTCTCTATCCAGGAAAACATCAACCCAGATGATGAAACCAATAAGAGATGCTTGAGGGAGCCAGATTGCCAAGGAGAAGAAACAAAACAATGAACTGATCACTTCAAGGGATTCTTGAATCGACCATCACCTGCAACTCGCCCAGAAATACCACCACAAACAGCACACACATAACTGCCAGTGGACATCAATTCTTCAACAAAAGCAGAAATCCTAAGCGTAGTGTAGTCCTATCGGGAAGGCAGCAGGAACAGACGGAATTCCCTCCGAAGCACTGAAAACGGACCAACAGACTGCGGCAGATGTTCTCACGCCATTACTGCAAAAGGTTTGGAAGGAAAGGTGCCTACCGACTGGAAGAAAGCCTCGCCACCTTGCCAAGCTGCCAATGAAGGGCGATTTAGTCAACTGTAAGAACTGTCGTGGAATCACGCCCTTTTCTTTTTAAGCAAAATACTAAGTTGCATCATCCTGGAGAGAATAAAGGATGAACTGGATACAGAACTCCACCAGGCCTGAACAAGCTGGATTCAAAAAAAGGCAAATCATGTGCTGATCAGACTGCAACTCTACGCACTGTCATCATAGAACAAAGCATAAAATGGCAGTCAAACTTGTACTCTAATTTCATTAACTTCGAAAAGGCCTTCGATAGTACTGACCGAGAAATAATTTGGAAATTACTTCAGTACTCTGGCGTGCCTGAAGTCTTTATCAACCTCATTCAACGGCTGGCTATATGACATTGCCAAGTCCCAGGTAATCCACAACGGATAAGTCGATGAATAAAGGAGTAAGACAAGGCTGCCTGCCTATTCTCATCCACGATGACATTCTTAATTGTGGTGGAGTGAATTATGCGTCCGACTGTGCACAGGGAGTGAGAAGACAGGAATCCGCTGGACCACCGATAAGAAGATTCTAAAAGATCTGGATTTTTCAGATGATTTATGTTTAGTGTCACACAAACTCGAAGACTTGCAGGTGAAAACCAACAAACTGGCAGCGAAGACAGGACTCCAGGTGAACATATGGAAGACGGAGGTGATGAAGATGACCAAAAAACAGCAACTAAAACCAGCACCAACCACCATCGACGAGAGAAACTTGGACGAGGTCACTTCTTTTACTTATCTAGGAAGCCAGAATCGTTTCAACTACAGGCAGTCGGAACGGAAGAAGATGTCAAAGCCAGACAGAATCAGAAAAACCAGATACTCCTTCATCAACGTAAAAAGAATTTGGAAATCTTGTTCACTCCGCTTCAGCATGAACAATAAGATTCAAATTTTTCAACACAAATGTGAAGTCAGTCAGTTGGTGCTTCTCTACGGGTCAGAAACTTGAACTGCATTTCACGAAAAGGATTTCCAACAGGCTATTTCAGACTTCTGTCAACAACTGCCTTCGCCATACTAAAGATCAAATAGCAGGCCAGAAAGAATCACCAGCAAGAAAGTCTGGGAACTAACTAAGCAAGAGCCGATTGTTCGACAACTATGTAGGAGAAAATGGAGATGGATCGGGCATACATTGAGGAGGCCGTCGAATGACGTCGCGCACCAGGCTAGTGTTCGAGTGGAACTCCAATGGGAAACGGCGAGTGGGTCGTCTGAGGGAGACACGGAGGAGATGAGAGACTATGGGCAATCGTGGATCCAGATCAAGAGGACAGCAGAAAATAGAAGAAAGTGTAGATGTGTTGTTGAAGCTCTATGTTCCACTCGGAACCCAGGGGAATAATGACAAATAAAATACTACAGTTATATGATATTGCACTTTGGTCGATAACCCCTTCACCTTTCTAAAGAACTTCTCCTTAGTTGAAGGTATGAAGGCACTCAATTCCTTCGACAGTTTGTCATACTGCATTTGCTTTTCTGTCTCTTATCCCACCAGTCAATAAGATAATGTCCGTTTATATGTTGATAAAAGCTTCAAAGTATATGTACTTCACATTCCTGACACTGGTAATAGTATAGTCAAAGCTGCAAATAATAATTGGACGGAGCAGTGGCCGACGGAATACGTATTTCTTACGTCTTCACAACTGTTTTTGTTATGAAACCCAAGATTAAACTTGGGTTGAAGCTATAATTTGCAATGTTTACTTTACCTAATGCAGTAGTTATTGGATCAAAAGTGAGTTACTCCAGGGATTGATGTCATGTTTTAAACTGATCAGACTTCGCCTTCTACAGACTTAATTGTAATTCCACCAGAATTTGCCGTTGAATTAGGCAACTAGTAGACAGGTATTCTAACTATATGAGGCATTGGGAATTTATGATCCCTCAACAGACCTGTTTACTTCCCTCAGAACACTATGCCTTTTTCCGAGTAATGATTCCACCGAAAGGTGGACAATACAACACAGATGATTATAATAGTCAAATATCCGAAGACTCTGCCTTTTAGTAATCATATTTATCAACCATACATTTAGATAGTGTACACTACTTTTCACTACACTATATATGTTTTTTTAAATTTTCCTTCGCATTCCCCAGTGGAACATAGGGCTTCAAACTTATGCCTTGAAGTTTCTGTAGCAGTTGCTAGCCTTAAGCCCAACCTTTCCTCTTCACCAGCATTATTTCTGGCTCATCGAGGTAAAGGAGTGCGTCGGCCGGGGATCGAACCCCGGACGATGTGCATGGTCGGCGAGCGTCCTAACCGCTGTGCCACCGATGCGCACACTATATATGTAGTTGGAAAATAAATACTTTGGCTGCGTTTCAAGTAAGACATTTCGCAAAAAGCTAAGCCACCTTTCTATAATTGTGTTGAGACTCCATCAGTCGCTAATTTGCTGTGATAAATGACGAATACAGTCTCTTCACGCTTTACGGTCACATGAAGCAACGATTGACATCGCTACAAAGGCAACCAGATACATTTGGTATTTTGGGAGAACCATCTCAAACAATGCCCAATTGCTACCTGAAGGGTTCATGAGATCCTACATCTTCTCAGATTTTGGGCTAAATTCAGAATGAATATAAACAATTTATGCAGATTAAGATTTAATACAAATCAGATTCAGAATTTGTACAGTTTGATGCATGATTTACACATGGATCTTCATAAATCGATACATGTTCAGGGTTAAAATGGATGCGTTTTTCCTGAGAAGAAACTGGATGATGATGGTGGTGAGGAGGAGGAGCAGGAGGAGAAGAAGAGAAATTAGGATTAAATGATAATGGGGCAGTACTAGTCGTTTTCCCTAAGTCATTATTACCAACAGTAGTACTGTAATTATTCATTAATCGAGAATTGATTGATCTGCTTTCTTGGGACATCGCATTGTAGTCTGATTCATGATTGTGCGTCTTGTCTAAACCATTTACCATGAGATAATGTACAATGTAGTAAAGCAGTGGAATTGGTTGTTCAATTAATTCATTAGGCGATTTGGTAGTATTCGATTCACTACTTGGATTCTGTGTTGTAAGAGATTTAATATTGACAGTAGGCTTTATTTGTAGGGCTTGACATAGAAATCGTCTAGGTAAACTGTGAACGTTTCCATGACCAGATTCTGTACGAAAGACGGATTCGCTAAATGACAAACTGAAATGGGAAAAAAACAGAGGTTAAGAATATAAGAAATACTTAGGAGAAAATATATCGTATAACAAAAGACGTTACTCTATCACGTAAGGCGAAAGAGGAAAACTGCAAAATGTTCGCTACTGATTACGATTCCTAGGCATATCTGATGATGTCTTTACTCACCGATTTAGATTATCCCTTGGAACCCACTCAAGGAGTCGTGATGCACCGGTCGATGTTGACCTAACACAGCCACCACTTATTTCACGGCATCACGTTACGTGCTGACTCATATTTTTCAATGAAGTCAGTGGTCCTCTTGCACACTCTTAGCTTGAAAAGGTCAGTTTTCTCAGGCGTAAAGCAAGGCTGCATTCACTGAAGTATTGCAAAGCTGGCATCCGACTGCCAGACTGACGCAGCAACAGCATTAGATATGTCTCATGTTGATGTATGCCACGTGAACTTACCTTCACATTTAGAAATCTTATTGCTGTTTTAGGCGAAGTCCCTGACAAAATCCATTCCTCTGAGTGCCTTCAACAGAAATCTTAGTATGTTTGGCATAAAATTCACCCATGTGAAATCTGAGATAAGGCTACAGGAATGTCTGCACCAACTCTTAGTCCAAAGGTAGGTAGTGAAATGGTTGAGCGTGTTGACTACTTCACTTATTTTAGAAGTCGAATTAACCCCCCCCCCCCCAATGGAGCACTGACAAAAGTGACTCGCCAGGCATCTGTCAACTCACTCATTTTTGTGTAGACTGGATATCCGGCCATCTACCAAAAGAGCTATGTTCGGCTCAGCAGTTAGCTTTCTTATTTGTGGCTGTGAGACACGGCTGTTGAAAGTGTAACATGTGAACAGGTTAGCTGTTTATGTGCATAGATGTCTGTGTTCCATTTCCTGTTTTGAATGTTGTAATTTGGTGAATAATACCAGTGTTAGGTATAAGGTTAGGTAAGAAGGGAAAGCCAGTCGATGAAGCTGCATCTGTTGAGGCGGCTAGGATACATGTTACCGCCGTCATCGCCAAGCAATGTTATCTGACATAGGATTAGGTCAGAAAAGACCCATGGGTGGTTAAACCTAAAGGCACTATCAGTCCATGAAGTGTTTGCTGGTTAGTTTGAGCCACAAAGGAAGATGTACACTGCCCGGTTGGGGATTTAGGGATGCTGAAAACCAGTGACTTGAACCTGCTGGTGATATAACTCGAAATCGTTCTCAGTGGAGCAGATAAATTCATTTTTTGTAATCTCCAAGATCCATTAAGTCCCCATGTCTTTCCACACTATTGATTTTTTTCTCCTGTACATTTCTGCTTCTTATAGTTCTCTTTTGTCTGTCTTTTTGTGTTACATGTAGTGCGGTAACTTGAACTATTGCACTTCTGTGCAAAGCTGTATCCTGAAACTCACTCAGTCAGTCTGAAATTGCATGTACCACATTTCTACCATCACTCAAACAAATACTCAGATATACGAACCTATCGACTACTTCTTGCAGTTCACCTGCGTGTGTGAGTGCAAGTACAGGCTCCTATCAATCTAGCAACAATACTTTGCACCTACGCAGCACAAAGAGCATATCGCACTTACAGACTCAACTGACTGGGTGTGATCTGGACACCCTGCTTGTTATGACACAGTAAGACGATATCATCAAAAAAATTCGAGGGTAAACAAACTTTTTCCAGGCAGCAGATATACACAACACACATCCTTCAAGGCTATCTCCAGAACATCATCAATGGCAAAGTTTAAAGCAAGTGCTGCAGTTGGGAAACCTTGTATAACCTTACTGTTGGTTCAAACCAATAGAGATAGCTGGTTGTATACCCAGAGTGTTTCTGTATACAGCTTTCAATATATTAACAAAATTCTCAGGAAAACGTTTCTCTCTTACAGACAGTTCCAGATAGGAATTCAGTTTAGCTCAGTCGTAATATCAACAAATACGGCGATTTTTGGTTTGCAACTCATGCGAGGATGTTCTAGAAACTGACTAAGGGTGAGCACATGATCAGTGCCTACGAAACCGGCCTATTCCTCGCTAATTATAGCATGGTAATAGCTTCAGTCCATAGTGGTGGAACATACCCATCTTCCCATACTTTCCTGAGCAGCTCATCAATTCCCTGACTAGAGTGCCATTACCACATTTCAAAAGAGCCAGACTAATTTGCGTGGGCTAGGTGCCTTTTATTTCTTGCGTACTTCGAGTTCCTTTTGAATCCCTTCTTCGTTAAATAGACTAGGACTAATCGACTGCGAAGCAGTAGGATTACTGATGTTGGATGCTGGCATTGTAGCCCTGTCAAAGCGTATCTTCAAGTGCTCTGCTTAGAGTTTCAAGCATCTTTCTAGATCGTTAATCTGCGTACCCTCTGCTCGTTTAACTGGAGGGTGGTTCGGATGAGGTGTAACATCTTCCAACTATTGCTAAATGCAGCCAGTTCCATATGACTCTTACGTGCTGACCAACAAGCTTCACCATCCTTCCGTAAGCAGTACTTGGTCTTATGCATAAGCAATTTGCGTAGGCTACTATACTAAATATCCACTGAAAAGAGCCCACGGGTGTGAAGAAGTTGTAAGGGACACTCAGGAACCTACTACTTTTAAGCAAGACGCTCTTTTTAGCTGAAAGCGGCCTTAGTCATTAGTTTATTGAGTGCCACCAGTGTTTGTCCTATCTAGAGATCAGCCTTAAGCTTAGGTCGACAGCAGGCGCTACAAGTCTACTCAATTCAACTTGTTGAAAAAATGTTTATGATCAAAATAAAACCGCAATATAAATCTGGCAAACCCTAGAGCATAGTCAGAATCAAGACAAGAGAGGTTTTGGGTGCACCCACACCATTAAAGGCTGATACTATTATGATCCATTTAATTCCAGGCCTCAATGGTAGAGGAAGGACACCGAAGAGCACTACGAAGTTGTATGAACCGGTTGTTAGTGTTGGTTAGAAATAGGCTATGGTCTGCGCTAAACTGTGGAGGATAATCCCCGTCACCTAAGCTGTCACCGTGTAGACCTTTAATGAACACTTAAACCACTGTCCTCTCAGCTTAGATGTCAACTTTTGCGTTCAAGTCCCCAGATACAGTGTCTGTTAGACACTAACTTTGTCTGGTTTCGATACCATAGGGTCCCCAGACAAGCCTATTTGGAATATGCTTTGTGAAGTTGCATATGGGGAGATATGCGAAGCACTTTACTGGGACTTCCTATAGGGGCCTTTATAATGCAGCAAACATCATTAATGAGACTTTCCTTTGTTATGGCCAGAGCTGCCTGTGATATGGTTCACATCAAAGTGTGAATGTTATAAGTGGCAAACTTGAACTAGACTCTCGATGGAGTCTCTATTAGTACCTCTCCCAGTGGATGTCTCCATGACGAGCTTGGAGAGGGGTTCACTGAAAGGAACAGTCTCGAGCATATTGACCACACCTTCATAACTTGTGATGAAAACTGTTCAGCTGCTGAATTTCTCAGAAAATTTACTGGCTATCACTCATCTATGTTCGTCACTAATGAAGAAGAGTAGAATCCCGCATTTCACTTAGAAGTTACACTAGATAAAAGATAGGATGTTACGTTAGAAGGTCGATTTAGCGAAAATTAGTCTGCACCTAAAGGCAGAAAGAGAAATCTTATCCGTTCTCTATGCCCCAGAATTCGGAGAATTCTCTCTGAGCATACAGTCGACATGGAACTAGAAAGCCTCCGCACAACTCTCTTAAATAATGGATATCCTAGAAGGTTTACCGACAGAAACATCAAGAAAGAAACCGTCCCCAGCCAAATCACGGTACCAAAGAGGACACTGTTTATGAGTTTGACGTTCAAAGGTGACACCGTTGCTGATTTCATTAAAAGTCGTCTATCTAATTAAAATTAAACACTTTTTATGCGGTTGACTTACATTGAGTATTTACCAGCCGAAATATCACCCGACAATTCTCTTATGTCCACCTTTGTGTGCGTATATTCATTAACATGCTCGTGTGAAACCGATTACACTGGACGTCGTAAGCGTGTTTTCCGTAAACGCGTGGCTGAAACCTACCCGGTTTGGTTAATGAAAGGTGAGCAAAGGTTGAGAAAGTCTTCAATTTATGAACCGTTTCTGAAGTCAGGTCATTCAACCCCACGTGATTTATCCTTTAAAGTTATCTACAGGACCAAATCCAACCACTCCAAAAGCTTACGTTTTCTCCACTAATGCGGGGCCAAAGCCCTAGCTATACATGGACAAAATCTTAAGTTATGTGCTCAAAAACGTTTTGGTAAATCCTTTTGTTTACCATGGTCATAGTAATGTTCTATTGTTTTATTTTACCACTTGAATTCATTCCACTTCACTTTATCTTCTCAGTCTTTAGTGCTATCATATTCGTGCTCTTAATTTTTTAGACAACACTATTTTAAAATCTTAACACCAATTCACTTATTTAATAATCTTCAATAGTTTAGTAATCCGTCCACTTGTATTATACCCCCTTAGAACATCATTTCAATTATCTTTATTCTTATTATATGCGTATTCAATGGGCAGTTTCTAGTGCCATTAAATGTCTTTTTCCGTAATACAAATGAGAATACTAAAGCCACCAGGAACGGAAATGGAAGGCAAGATGAGGGTTCATGACCTTGGAACCAGTCAGTCAACACAAGGAACAAGATCAGGATTTCAAACATTTATATCTAGTCAGTGAGCGTTTCTGTATGGTTTGGAGACTTAGCGCCTCACTAAAACTATTTCCAGTAGGCTGCTGACTTTCGTCAATACGTGTCTTCTCACGATACTGAAGACCGGATGGTCAGACAGAAAGGATAAACAACAAGTAACTCTGACAGGCAGAAACCCAACCAACAACCTCTTGACCAACAAATATGCAGAAGGAAATTGAAATTGAACTGGACGTAAGCACTGAAGAGACCTTCAAGTGACACCCCATGCCAGGCTGTTCAGTGGGGTTGAGAGTGGGTGACATGGACAAACCATGTGAAATGGAGGGAAAAGTATGTGGTCAATCCTGAGGCCAAGTAAAAGTGATGACAGGGAACCGAGTGCAATGGAGATGTGACACTGAAGTCATGTTCCAGTTGGAATGCACAGAATGAATAATAACATCATAATACCATATAATATTAAATATTCATCAAATCGTAGACATTTTATTCGATGGAAGTACCTAACACTACAGGCTAACTGGAAGTGTTTTTCATTGGGAAGGTATTTCTGCAACTGGAAGAAATAGAAAGAGTGATCGCACACTCACTCAACACAGAGTAACAGCTTAAAGCTTCGTAGAGAGAAGGAAAAGCTATATAAAATGAAAGATAAAAGTGGTGTAAAAAGAACTAACTTCCTTATCAAGTCTGAAATGCAGAGATTAAATGTTATATATAACCAGAAATTCATATCCTGCAAAAATGCTTCAAATATGTGGAAACTATTCAAGGAAATCACTGGTGGTAAGCAGATAAACAATATTCCGTATTCTTCTGATGTATGTACTCTTAATAAATCTTTTATTTATTCTTCCATTAAATTCCATGCATCCTAATATCACTAGTGTTAATAATAGCCCCTTTCCCGTTTTTAACACAAATGATGTTCAAAAGTGCCTCAAGTCTCTGAACCCTTCCCAGAGCTTAGGTTCAGAACATGTACCTAATATTATTTTTTTTAAATGTTCTGATATTCTGTGTTACCCTCTCACTGATCTGTTTAACAAATCTTTTTCCAGTAATATTGTGCCTGCCGTTTGGAAAGACATTAAAGTTGTACCCATACCTAAATCGTCTACTGGAGCATGTGTCAAATTTAGACCCACTGCTATTACCTCTCCTTTTTTGAAAACTATGGAGAAACTACTTTCACTTAGTCTTGTACCCTCTCTTAAATCCTTTAATGACCCAAAACAATTTGCCTATAAGCACAGTAGAAGCACTTTAGATGCAGCTGCCGTCTTATATCATAACATTGCTTCCAGTCTAGACTAAGGGGCTAAATTTGTTCATTGTGCCTTCCTAGATTATACATTTGCTTTTAACTCGGTCCCTAGGGACATTTTATTAAATAAACTTGCTGCAAGTCAAACAGAATGTTGGGCTGTTAACTGGTTACATTCCTATTTCTCAGAAAGAAAGCAGTACACCGTTCCACTTGATTGCCTACTGAAGCTGGTATCCCTCAAGGCACTGTCCTTTCTCCTTTTCTTTTTTCTTTCTTCTTACATGACTTGCCTCAGTCTGATGAAATAAACTTTGTGAAGTACGCTGATGATTTAACTGTTTCAATGGCTGTTAACTCCCAGCTAGATTGTACCAAAATAAATAGCTTTCTGTCGGGAGTCAGTAAATGGTCTGAGTCTAATGGTCTTAAACTGAATCCTTCTAAATGTCAAACTGTTAATTTCAGCTTAAGATGTAAACGACAGTTAAAAGAAGCCATCGATTCTCATGACAGTTGTAAGATTGATGACAATGATATAGGAATTAAATCAGAAATTAAGTATCTTGGACTTATTCTCTCTTCTGATCTCACCTGGTCTTCCCATGTCTCAGCGATCTCCAGTAAAATATTCCGCCTGACATTTTACATTAAGAAGTTAAAGCACTCGGGTATAACTCAACCCCTCCTCTTACAGTTCATAAACTCTTGCATCCTACCTATTCTTCTTTATTGTTCACCCTTATTCTTTCCTGGTTTGCTTAAAAAGGACTTTGTCACAATTCGTAGAATGCTGAAGACTGTCAGTAGGATGAGTGGTGTCCCAGTGGACTACATAGTTAACGTCGTTGTCGATAGGCACTTGACTTCGTGCAGTAAATTTGCTAAAGGGATTTTGTCTGACTTGGAGCATCCACTTCACACTCAACTTTCACCTTGCATCTCCTCAGGTAGAACAAGAAGTAACTTCAGAAAACTGTATGCTAGCACGTCTAAGTATAAAAATTCTATGATACCATACTTGGCACGTATTTTATGTGATGAAAATAGTGTCAGGCAAGAATTAGCTAACCTCTTTTCATCTAGTAAATAAACAATCTCCTCCATCCATCCTTATATACCTTCAAGTTTTACTTTTATTATTTCTATTACATTTATGGTCCTGTTGACTCTTTGTTTTTACTTTCATAACTGCAAACACCAACTTATCTCTATGACTGCTGTAATCTTTCTTTTTTCCCTCACCATATCGTGTAAAGCGAAGATTATATTCAATATTTTTAATCATGCAAGGACTTGTATACCGCATCGACAGTACTGTGTGAAACAAGCCCACGGCAATTTACACTTGTATTATTATCATTACCTTAGCTGTTATCATTATTATTATTTCCATTTTATATGCTGCATGTTTTTTTTTTGATATTACCCTTATTGTAAATGTAGAAAAATTTTCTGTGTGGTTAATTTTGTTTAAAATTTGAGGAAATTAGATGCAATATTGTGATTAATGCTGAAAATTCCATTCTGTATTACAAGTACTGCTTTTGGAATAAAGTAAATCATTATTATTATTATTAAAGAAACTAGCACATAATCTACAGTCAGTTAAAAGGCAGATCTGATAAATTCTGATATGATTAGACGTCATCTCATTGCCCAGTACGAAGTCTGTGTTCTAAACAGTAAAATGCTGAGACGCAAGAATTCTTGCTATTGAAGACTGTCGTCCTATTTGGCATAAAGTCTAGACGCTGAATGCTTAAATATAATTTTTGTGTTATTTTTTATTATTATTATTATATTGGTTTCCGAGTGGAACAGAGGGTTTCAGCAACACATTTTCACTTCTCTGCAGTCATTTTTTATAGCTAACACCATGATTACTTATAAGCTATCATCTACTTTCTCACACTATCTCCTACACATCACTCTCGAACGCCCAATTCATCACTTCCTATTCAGGTTTCACTAGAGAGAGTTTGGCGCGTGATGTCACTAGGCATATATTCAGTCCACCTCAGTTTCTTTCAGCATATTTATTGGGCGATAGGCTCTTGGTTGGTTTGTTGCGGCTTATTCGTTCTCTCTGGGTCAGCTGGTCTTCATTATCGGGCGAAGGCAGCTGTTGACAAAAGTTTTCAGCCTGTGGGGAATGTTTTTCGTTTCTGATCCTGACCTAACACTGGTGTTGGAAATCCTAAATGTGTTCTTCATGTTGAGTACAGCAGCTTTCCACACTGATTTCGGACTGATAAACACCGTCTTGTTTTTTCCGATTCGCCTTTGACATCCTCATCCCCGTAGTTGAAACGGCACTCCCTAGTTAAGTGACATAAGTAACTTCCTTGAAATTCTTCGGCATCAGTGGGGACTGGTGCTCGTTATTTGTTGGTTAGGTGTCTTCATCACCTCTGTCTTCTTTGTATATTTACAAGAAGCCCTATCTTTGTTGCCAGTCTCTTCTGCCAGCTTTTTGGTTTTCGTCTGTATATTTTCGAGTTTGTTTGACACTAGATATAAATCATTCATGATGTCCAGATCTTCCAGTGTCTTCCTGTCGGTCCCCACGGAATATAATCGATGATAATAAGTAGCCTTGTCTTACTCCTTTCTTCCCTTCAAACGCTTTGTTGAGCTCTCCGTTATGAATCACTTCGCATGTGGCATCCTCATATATCTGTTGGATTAGGCTGTTGAGGGTTTCGGGCAATTCCTAGTGTTTAGGCTGTCGATGGATTTTGTAAAGTTGCCTGATTTAATAGTTCACTGGTTTACTAGGATGTCCTGAGTCAGGTAGATTAGTGGAGGCTGGGCGTGGAACTAGAAACCCTGACCCGGAAAATCAGTCCAGTCGCTAACGCAACTTCAAAGCACAGAAAAACGAAGTTGGTAGTGTGGTTTTAGGGGACCAGGAACATTATTAATGGTTACAGAGTTAAGAGAAGGTAGGAGCATTGGGCTATGTAAGCCCAGCCACCACCTCAATTTAGTGGCTATTGGTCAGGACTAAGCTAAGTAACTCAACATTATTTTTAATATTACTTGTACATTACCAGTCAGCTGATAAGAAGCTCTCGCGACTTAGGTTGTCTACTTATTGATACTCATAAAAGTAAGGCATATCTACATCCTTGAGCGAAATTGCATACACTCATCAACTCAATGTAACAATAGTTATGCATGCTATAAACGTCTCATCTCATAGATAAGCGAAAAATTTCTAAAGGATAATTTAGGTTAGGATTGCAAAATGAATGAGAATAAGTCATTCATTATTAAAAAGCAAACAAACGACTAGTGATAACCTGAAAATCTGATTGGAAATATTTCAAACTTCAGTACTGAGTGACACCTCCAAAATCTTATAACAAACATGAGATTACAGCTACACCTAACTAATGAGCAACAACAAGCGAGAAATATCGGTCGAATAGGTTTCTGGGATATATGTTATTTTTTTTTGAGACAAAATATCACTTACTTATAAGTAGTATGAGTGAATTACACAATTTAATATACTGTATAATAGTGGGTTCATTTGTCTATGTGGTTAAACCATAAAGGAACTTTACACTGGAAGCAAACCTGTGAGATTTCGTTAAAAGTCTTTGTCACTTAAAATACCTTCAGTAGAAAACGTTTTTGCTTGACTTACCTTTCAAAGTTTAGATATTCAAGAATTAATTCATTAATTAATAATTTCACATTTGAGTGTATATCTGAAGCAGGTGAGGTCTTTATTTCAGGTAATTGACTTTTGATTTTCTCAAAAATCTTCTTTAAAATGTCCGCTTTAACTTCGTTAAGAAACCCATCCTCATTAAGTGCTGTCCTCAAATAATTCTTTAGGCCATCAGGGGAGGACATATTTGAATTACTACACTGTGAGTGAGAGCAGATAACGCTGTAAAGATATTGAGAAAAAGGAAAATAGCATCTATACTTTGATATTCAGGATAATTCCAGAAATAAAGTTTAATTCATTTGAACGCAGTATACTTTACAGTATCAGTGTAAGCGGACAAACTCGATATTTCCAGACTTAAACAAGTGTTTTTTTCTATTTCAAGGTGGGATTCATCACTGACAGACAATAATTACAGAAGGGATGGAGACTAGAAAGTACTAGATAACTGTCACATCATAGTTTGACACTCCTGAGAATTGTGCACGCACATTCGCACACCAACAGCCGGCACTTCAGCACTCGGGCATTAAGTTAAGCGATCTAACAAACCATAAAGTTTAACCTCTGTTTTTGGTTGTTACCCCTACCAACAGTGGCTGTAAACAGGCAGTTGCTCATTGTCCAGTTTGCTGTATTATCCAGTAAATGTATCAATATCTGTTCGCCTACCTTATAGAAGTAAGTGAAACGATAACTTTAAAAATAACGGCAGTTTATTCAATCAAGCTAAGTGAATTTAATAGATATTCAATATCATTCACCTTATTAGTATTAAAACAATCATTGACTTTTCACTTTAAAAACATTTGGATACATCATAAGTAATCAACTCAGTTACGCAAAATAAGCAGGATAGAAATAGGATGTCACCGGGAGTTTATGACGAAATTAATACATTATCAGTGTAAAACTTTGGATAAATTTGTAGAAGTTCAAAATGTTACACTCCAAAAAACGTGCACAAATGCAGAAAAAAGAAGAAACTGCAGTGGACGAGTATGCACCAGTAAAGAATAATTGAGTCAAGATTAGTAAAGTTTTTTAAAGCCTGTAAAATTACGGGTGAATATATCTGCACTATTGTGAATGGTTTTGAGTCAAATCACCAAAGGCGCGAACCATTGACTGATTATTAACATGCTGAGGGACCAAACCAGTCTACCTTTACTTCCCTATATGACTCGAAGCAATAGTCGAATAAGGTAGATTGATGTTATTTTTTCAATCTAATCTGACTTCAGCTAACATCACTTGCTGATGGATACTGTGACTTAGAATGTTCATTAGCTGTTCTAGCCACCTATTTCGACGTGGCGACCGTAGCTAACGGTCTGCGCCTGACGCCAGTGTTACTTAGTATTTTGCTTCACTTAAGGAGGCAGAGACTGGTCGAAGAGTGTTTCGAGATTTAACAACTTGTAATGAGCTATTTCTGTACAAAGTTATACGTTGATTTGCCAATCGGTCAGTCAGTAATCTAGAAATAAAGAGTTAACTGTTTGGTGGATGAACTCAGTTCAATTTCATTTTCAAATAGTCCATTTGTTTGCAACTTTAACTAACTAGGGAGACTTTAACAATCATGCCTATAATTTATGAGTGGGTCCAACATTTAACTAAGCATAAACTGACCTTCACCTTGTTTCGATTGGCTAGCAGTTTGAAGAGACACTAGCGTCATCTGCACATTGGAACATGGATTTGCTTCAAAAGAATATTAGTGACACCATAACACTGCATAAAACACCGGATAATTGGGAGGAATGCATATCTGTCTATTCGGTTCAACATAATTATCACACACTTAAGAAATGCCATGAGTTTAACTGACACTATAATGGAGTTAATCAGATGACAAGCGTGTCATATCTTGAAGTAAAGGGATTTTAAAAATAACACATCGCAGGCTAAATGGCAACACAGTACATTAGATAGTACATTCTAGATGAGGCCTGACATATGTTGCGTAGAGTACCTTGAACATAGACACATCTAATCGTTTGAAAGCTCTTCGGAGTGTCCATAGCATTTGAAAAGCCTCAGCTGCGGCTGCATTACAATTTTCAGTTGTTTTCAAATCATTGCTGACAATGATTCCTAGGTCCACATGTCCGTTAACATCAGGTAGTTCTGTGTCCCCTAGGGAGTACGACGTATAAGACTTTTGAACTACGTGCATTATCGCGCTTTTCCTAGAATTAATTTCCAAACTCTACAGGTTCGACCACTCAGCTAATTTATCTAGATCAGTTTGTAGGGCCGACCTATCCTCGTTATTATTTAGTTTTCTAGATCTTAATATCGTCCGCAAATAATAATGAAGATGAAGTAAGAATCCCCGGTAGTTCATTAACGTATAATAAGAACAGCAAGGGGCCTAATACAGTTCCCTGAGGCACTCCAATGGATACCGGTTTCCACCTTGATAGTACACTGTTAACTCTAACCTTCTGCCTTCTAACCATTAGGTAATCCCTAAACCACTCACATAGGCACTGGTCTAGTCCAAAACCTTTAGGTTTACTAAGGAGACCTAACTGGGATACTTTATCGAATGCCTCACTAAGATCGATAAAAACCACGTCCAACAGAAGGTTTTTATCTCTGGCCTCAACCTAGTCATCCCTAGCCAACAGTGTGTTTGTCAGGCAGGATCGTCCTGGTCGGAATCCATGCTGTTCCACCGCCAGCAAGTCATGTTTTTCCACATCAGCTAATAGCTGGTCCCCTATAATTGTTTTCAATACGTTTGCTATAATGCATGTCAGACTTACCGACCGGTAGTTAGATATATCTATCGTATACGAATTGCCTGTTCCCCTCTTTGAAGATAGGGTTTATAATGGCATCGTTCCAGTTCCTGAGAAGCTTAGCCTGGGTCAGGGACATTTGGAAAATTTCCGTAAGTGGAATATATATTATATCCGCCAAGGAAATTAACAGTGAAGTCCATCGGGCCCAGGTGATTTACCTAGTTTCCGTTTAGACAGTAGTTTGAGGACATTTGTATGTTCTACCACAAATGAGGGCATCTGGGTGGCGATGCTAGTGACTTCCCTGTACGCAAGGATCTCCAATCACTAAATGGGGAAAAACATCCCCAAAAGGGGCAAAATGAATAATTTCGATCCAACGCAAATAAGGAAGATAAAGAAAAAAGCACAAAATTTTATCCTTTGCCCAGTTCTTCCCCTTAATTTTACAGCTCAAATCACAGGAAATTCAGTCAAGTGCATTTTTTAACATATAAATTATATCTTAGCTAGTGTATTGATCATGATATCTATATATTATGCATGATATAGTATTAATACTATATATAAGTCCCATAATCGGAAATATTGGATATTACCAGTTAAGTCAGGGTGTTTATACTACAAATGCAGTAAATACCGCTTCAAACGTTATACATATTTTTGTGAGTTTGTTTTACCCTCAGTTTTGTTGCCAAGTTTACGTGATGTTCAATATCTGATTTACAGTCAATATGGTTTCTACAAACTAATAGAAGCCAAATTGTTTCTTTGATTGTAGGGCAAAGGTGTGTGATTTTCGGCAAACTTCTGAGTAGTCCGTTCTACCACTCGACTGCCGTAACTTTGGTTGACCGCAAGGAGATTAGTTAAATGTGATTTTATACATTTATTCTTATTCTACATTTTCGAGTTTGCTGCCATTGATAATTCCGAAAAGCTAACTGTCAGTAGTTTTGTTTGGGTCTACTATTTTTAAGGAAATTAGATACGATATTGCATCAAATACTGAGAATTCCATTTTGTATCATAAATAAAGCAAATCATTGTTACTATTCGCAGTACGTGATATCCTAAAGCCGTGTTACTACTGTGAATGGAATTGTTCTTTCGCCTGCTGATCGTCGTGTGTGCTCGACAAGAGAGGTAGCAACGAATGTGGCAACAGATGTAATTTGTGTAGATTATGTATAGTAAAAAAGAAAAGACATGCTCAAATAGAAAAATAATGGAGATTAATGGTCAGAAAACAATTAAACAAGTGAATGAATAACTGGAATAGTCGGAAGAGTGAGATAAAGGAGAGTGTGCAGTGGTGAAGGGCGAGTTTAGATGATGCCTACAAGTGGAGCTGTTATACAGTAATGTTTACTGATGACGTTTCGAGCACAATTTATTGCTCATAATTATATCAAGGTAATCACACGACTTCCTAAATTCATAATGGAATTACGCTCTACCACTGTGCACAAGTTTTGTTCTTATATCTATGAATGACCTGCCTTATTTACCACTTGTAAGTCAACCTTCAATTATTATGCACCTTCAGATAACTACAAACAATGGCGACGTGTAGGATTATATCGTGTACACTGCCTCTACCTATGTAAAGTGACCTTATAGATATTATTCCATTACCTTGCCTGATATATATATACCTTGCGTATTTGAATAATTGCAAATATGTTTACCCCATGTGTTTGTTATTTACTATATAATGCTGCTTGTAAACTGGAGCCCCTTATATACCAACAAATGAGGATAGATTGCTACCAGTACAATAATAATAATAATAATTTGCTTTATTCCAAAACAGTACTTGTGATACAGAATGGAATTCTCAGCATTTTTACTACAGTATTGCATCCAGTTAGTACATTGTCAATAAATAGAATTCTACATAGATTGAGGAAACCACAGTTCATTATTACAACAATACATTGGCATGTTCAGTAGCAAAGGTAAAGCTGAAACAGTGTTTGAAGGTGTTAGAAAAGTGGGAGCTGTCTTATTAACTGGCGTAAGCGAAAGAAAGAGACAAAGCAGCACATAACGGAAAAAGAAGAGAGAGAAAAGGAACAGAAAGAAAGGAAATGTTGAACCTATTGATGAAGTGGGTTGGAAAGATGAGATCCAGTTGTACTAATGACTATATAATGAATTATAGGTGTCACGCCTAATGCTTTCTTTATCACACAGAACGCGAGCTAAGTAGGGTATGGTTGAGTTTTTGTACTTGCTGGTGCGAGCATATAGTTTTCTATATTGGCTTCTGGTTTTACCTGATGAGATGCAAGGGGAGAGTTGTGAGTGAAGAGAAGCAAATTGTATGATAAGTAATTTTCGTCACGAACTAAATGATGCGTTACTGTAGTGTGCTAAGTCTTGTCTGAAACCTGAAATGCATAAATGCGTCTGGATTTGCATAGGCGATAGTAGTATTGACTACAAGCTTCCCAAACGTGACTGAATCCCAGACCTAGGCATTAGACACTTTATAAATTTAACCTCTGAAAAGACTGACCGTAATAGATCAAAAGTATGTGGGCTCCTGGTCTTCATCACTCATGATTTTTCTTTATTTTGAGGCTTGAGTTTTATTGCAAAGTGTTTTTTATTATTCTAGTATACAGCCGGTTTATCCTTATTCAGTGGTAAATTCAGAGATGAGAGACTTTGACAACAATTTCCTTTAAGGGATCCTGGTTCAGAATGTAGTCTTGACTACGCTGAGCATAACATCAGGCAACAGATAGGACCATTCTGGAAGAGACGGTTTCGGCCAAACCTCATCCCTTACCAAAAGTTGACCAATCTTCTTCCGCACTCTTTCGGGTTGATAGTTTAATTTAACCCTTGACTTAGTAGCAATCTAAGAAAACATAACAACCAGTTAGCTGCGGAGCATCGTTAGACTAGCATGTAGGTTAACTTCTGCTTCCGCGAGTTTTCAGCCATTTGGAATGGACTACTAGCCAGTGCGTGACGCGTACACACTCCCTGTTCTCATCTCTCCAGTCATTGCACAGTCCAGCAATCATCATACTATCCTTCGTCCTACGCTTAAACTAGCCTTCTAACCCCATATATATATATATACTCACCCTACCAAATGTATTACTAAAATTATTCAACACCAATGGATGTTACTACACATTCCTTGAGAGAGCATGAATACTGACTCATACATGTAATGCAGATGGCAATATAGCAGAACCAGTTATTGTGTCAATAAATTTCATAATTTCTATAGAATTTATGTATATATTTACATACTACTACGTGAGGATCCCCACACTAAATCCAAATGTGTTACTGTTTACGTCTCATTTAATAAGCCAAATATACCCTCGATCTACCAAAAATCATTTGATAAGTCATGTACAGTGGGTGCCCTATCTTCAACTTGTACACACTCCAAAGCATTTAGGTTGTTCGAAATTCACTTAGTCAAATGAAAACCAGCCTTAGCTATGGTGTGGTTCGCACTGAATATGAAGTCAACTTCAGAATCTTTCTCGTCAAAAGGCGCTAAACAGCGATCCACACAAGAAAGCTGGCCTCTTAGGTCCCTTGAATCAGTATATACGAATGCGGACGCAGCCACATGTACACCAAAATTAGCACAAAATATTGGGGACGTAGAACGGAACGGATTAACTATCATTCGATGCCAGGAAGTTTTGCCATGCCACCCTTCAAACATTAGGACCTCTGGTATTTTCTGTCACCCAATAGCATCCTTAATTGCAGGAATATTTTTTCTACATCCGTGTCAACATTTGCTGGAGATCCTCCAAACCAAACCAGAACCAACCAATAATGCCAACATAAATTTGACTACTGCGTAAGGCGACCTTTGAGGATAAATCATCATTTTCTTCGAAGCAGTCGAATAATACGCCCAGATTACATGGTGTTTTTAGATTGGATTCTGGGTGACGTGGTAGACACCAACTCTCTGGTTCGCTTCGACCCTTACCCTTTCTACCTAGCTCTTCACTGTGTTTATGAATAACAGCCCTATGCTTAATCAACAAATCTGAACCCAGGACAATCTACTGTAATATTAATTTTTATTTCGTATTAACGGGTATGTTTACAAGAGCGTACTCAGAACAAGGTGTCCGCAGGACCGGCTGCCAAAGATCTTCTAGGTATTTAAGTGGCTACCTGATTGCAAGCTATTCACATGACTTTGGACCCACTATCTAGCAAGACACTTGCATCACTGAACGACCTTCAACTTATGTAGCGCAACTTAATACCGCCTTTGCACATCATGAACCACATGGGTGCTATTGATATTAGCCGCATCAGCGCGATTATTGTCCAGTATCAAAAGGCAGTGGAAACATACTGGATTACTAGATCCTTTCAAATTTTCTGCCCTACAATTCGATTTCATATACCATTCTTTCAAACAAGGTAAACATAGCTGTTACTGACTCGCAAGTTCAGCTGTTTCCAAATCTGATGTTTTCAGTAAATCAGCAACCTTATAAAGCACTCCTAAATCCTCATTATAAGCCATCAAATTAGTGGTTGTGAATATTGTTTTGTGCGAAAAACATGACTGCATACTCGCTTGTTCTGAATTTCAAAGATAACTGGTGACATTATGCAACCAACATAACTAGATCTTGTTAAGCAGTTCGGTCGTTATCTATAACTGTACCACACCCTTAATACATAACCAGTTGCATTCTTTTATTTCAAACTTTTCAAAGCTGCCCCAAAAATACCACAGAGTTATAAAAACTGAGTTATACAAATTAGAACCCTGAAGAAACAAGCAGTTGTTTTTATCTAAAAATGTTTGTTTATGTCAGCCAATCTAATTGCACTCTGAGGTCATTATCCCAAAGTGTGTAAATTTTGAATTCCTGGAATAGGGATGCCAATAAAAAGGGGTCATGTTGCCCCTCAGAATACCTTTATAGATACTTTAATACAAAAATTTGACAGTCAAGGTAATAAAATTTGTAATTATCCATAGAGGCATCTTCTGAGTATTGTTCTTAAGATTTTTATTGGTAATCTATAAATTGTAATCTGAAATGTACACAAAGTATTTTCAATATTGAGACTAAAGGTTATAGGCAAGTATCTTGTAACAAATTTTGTATCATTCATGCAAATAGAAATGGAATACCAATTCCTCTGATTAAATAGACGAGGTTCAAATGGAACAGATTGTCTGGTACATGCACATGGTAATTTAGGTATTGAATCCCCAAGTTCGTGAGAAAAAATATATTCGATTATTTAATGGTAAATCCCTTTTTCCTTTTCTGCCAGTACATATCCTGTTTGGATTATTTAGCCAGTAAACCTCACTATTTAGATTCTTAATTTGATCGAGTATAACAAAATATCCACCAATGCATTCGCACAGTAGTGCAGAACCAAGCACTGTGTATGACATGTGAATTCTGTGTAATAGACTAACAGTGATAAGCTATCATTCTTGGGAGGTACATACAGAATATTTTTTTAAGTGGTTAGGGAACTAACAGAATGATAATCTAATATACCTTTTGTACTTGGAACACTTGAGTATAAGATGTACTAGACTCGCAAGTAGTAACTTTAAATTTTGAAGAACAACTGTGCTAATTAGTCCAAGACATCTCCATTCGTAGAAAACCGGAAACTTCAGTCTGCATTACTCCATTTTAAATTAAGAATTTAAAAAATGTGTTAATGTAGATAAAATTTGGGGTCCCCTTTAGATTTTTACAAAATGTCTAGTCTTGTATAGTTTTACATTTTTTGGAAGATAAAGGTTAATACCTCAAGCTGAAATTTCAGTTATATAAAAAATTCGGGGACGACTGCCTACTTATAATCCGTCTCTTATAAGTTTACTGTATGCAGCTCTGAATGATAAATTAAGGATTAAATTGTATTCACCAAACAGTTTATTTCACATAAATATATCCGAGTATTGAGACTTAATTCTTCTCTCCAGCAAACTTGCCATCAGCGGTGACTACTTGAAGAGGGAATATTTCTTCGTACAATGCTTTTGTCTTCTATTTATGAATACCTCTACTTACATTTTTAAGACAGGAAGTACTTCAAACTTTTTTCATTTTCATTCCCTCTGTCTCATGAATCAGTATTAGAATACAAAATTTGGTCTTTTTTCTGAAGTTTCTTTTAAATGCTGACTCAAAATCACGAAGCGTCTCCTGAAGCGTTACTGCAAGCAAAATTTCACTAGCCCCAATGGGTTAGTTGCTGACGAAATCTCAGAGCAGATACAAGACACTCGTTTTAGTATTTAGAAATGTGAGTTATCGTCAGCGTGTGTACTATTCAGTAGTTTGCTATAACTGTAAGCAGAAGATATCGAAGGGTAAACCATTCTTTAACATAAGTACTTTGTTTTAATTTCTCATGTTAGTCTGAACAGCGTGATGCATAATGTTGACATCAGATAGATTTTTAAGTTAGAAAGTTATGTGAATCGATGCGGTGGTTTGTCCTCACTGATCAGGTATCTGGGACATGTCTTGTTCCTACTTAGCTATCTGCTTCCTAGGTGTATTACGTCAGTCAAATAAATTTTAGGCTGCATAAGGATTAGGATTAGTGAGACTAAAATATGGCGTCAGTGCATGTATTGATTGACATTTAATCTGAGCTATGTGAAAGTTTGCTTTTTATTTGACATCCACAAGATGCAAAGAATCAATGATTGGAAAGTCCAGGTTATATCTCTCAGTGACTTACCAAGTTGCAAATGTATTCACTCTTTATAATCAACATTACGAACATTTTGATTACTTTTCATTGAAGTCTTTTAAACGCGCGCCTATTCACCGTTGTACCGATACATGCCTGTTCTCTTTTCAAGTGTGACAAATATAGCTGAATTATGGCTGTGAAAGCTCCCACTTTAATCCGTCATTTTTCAATCAGTTAGGATATGATTTAAAGCAAAACGGTCAATGGTGTGAGGTGTATGAATAAACTAAAGCCTCTTGACTGTGGTTCATCAGAAGGGCTAGAGATTCTAGGTGATAGTTTCAGATCGACTGCACTGTGACTGATTTACGTATGTAACTCTTTGTTTTATTCTTGGAAATCTTATCGTAACATCTCTCTGTCATATTTTGCTCTTTTTGCTCTTATCTACAAGATCGTATGACTTGCTAGTTTTGCTTTCAGTTTTGCTTACTTCACTTTATTCAGTTCTACATAATTATAATGTGGAATGTGGAAGGCTGAACTGGCAGTCAATTATGTCGCGCTCTGCATTTGCTCCTTTCTTATTCTTGCTACATAATTTGACATGAATATATTGCGTTGTGTGAAGTGTTACTTGACTTTGCTATATGCTACGGTTATTTTAAAATGGCTGTGTTTAATATTAAAAACAACAGAGAAACTTTTTTTTATTGTTTGTTCATGTAACCAGAAGGATAAAAGGAATATCATTTTGTCAGCTATTCACTCATGTTTGCTTGAGAGGAAATTGTCATAAAGCATTTTTGTTCCTATATTTTAACGGTCGTCTAGCTGGTGTAGCTTCGCTATAAATAGTTACACGCAGCAAGTAATGTTGAAGGTATATCGAAGAATTTTCATAACCATTGCTTTCATCGTGATATTTTAGACAAGCATAGCTGTAAAATACTTTATGAATTTTAAGTTAAACGGTGTCCCATTTTTGTATTCAGTGGATATAGTGATGCCTTACATAATTAGTGATTTTATGCTAGTTAGTCTTCTGCATAGTTTACATATTCATTTACTCCACATGGTGAAGGCCATCCCTTTCTTGATCTGGGATTATGTATTCAAGAAGCTTTTTGCACTCTCATGTTAAGAGTAATTTATGTTTTGACGTAGTTGCACTTTGTGAAATGAAAGTGCTGACAGTTAACTGTCTTTGCTCTTTTCAATTTGAAACTCCTTGTTTCCATCTCTCTATATATATTTAAGTACTTGTGAAGCATTTCTGCTCAGTAAACCATCTCTTTTACTAGCATATTTTTTGAAATAGGTCATTCTGTTGCATCTCTGTTTACCTTTATAAAGATTATATTTGTATAGGCATGCCATTCGTCATTTATTGTATTATTTTTTACCTTAATTATCAACTTCATGGTTAACTTCGAATTAAAAAAATCCACCGCAACTAAACGGATATTTCTATATAATTTTTAAAGTGTGTTAGGCTGATGATGAGAAGCTAACTCAGGCAAGATATATTTTCTTATGTTCCAACTCTAGTTTTTATCGCATAATTTTTTTCAGGTCGAAAATTCTTGATTGCCAATGCTGCCCTACCGGGAGCTCCAATTATTTTCTGTAATGATGAGTTTTGTTCCTTATGCGGATATTCACGGGCTGAGATTCTGCGTCGGTCTGCTGGCTTGGAATTTTTATATGGGCCGCTTACATCATCTAGATCTATCAAGGATTTGAAAACAGCTCTATCAGACTGTGAAGAGAAAATTATTATGGCGGTATTGTGTGATAAGTCAGGTGAACACATATAAGGATCATCAATTTATAGCTTTTTTCAATTGATATGTTTACCTGTTGTTAGTGTACGTTTCTAGTGTGTGTATTGCACTACGATCTAGCAGGAATAAACGTGGTATTTGAAAAGTGAACAGTTGATTTGAAAAGCGCAGATGATATAGTCCTGTCACGTGGATTTGCTGATACCTGTGACACCGACAGGATTTCTAGCTATCTACAAAGGGGAAAGCGCATTACACAGCAGTCCACATTGTACTGCTATAAACCTATGAGAAGTGACAACTGAAAGCTGAAGAATTAAAAATACTGACCTTGTCCAACGATATCATAGATCAGTTAATTCATCAGAAAGTAGACATTCAACTGGATTTATAATGTCTGACTCTGATGAATAAGGCGGTCTGGAGAAACTGTCGGTAAAGTCTTTACAATGCATTCTCTTGGATGTAATCACACAACAGGATGCGATAGGATGAAAGTATTAAAAAGTTCTATATATCAATCACTGAACATTTGTTCGTCAAATCAACACCGATCACGTTCACTCGAAATGACTCAACGCCTATACAGGATATATGGAAAATTGCAATAAATAACAAGGGGGAAGAGAGAAAACAAAATACATAAATTAATACACAAAGCAAATTATGAAGCCTTGTTAACAAAGGGATATGATTATGAGCAGTCATTTGTGCTCGAAGCGTCATCCATTTATTAATACTGCACTACTGTGTTTTATTTCAAATAAACTTATGTAAAGCATAAGAAGTGATCCTACCAAATCACTTAACCAGCTAATTAAGTTTCTCCATGTTACTGCTAACCATGTATGTTTAATTGGACACTAGTCAGTCACTAATGTAATGTGTCGAGTACTATCTTTGGTGCAGATTGAATTCTACCAGTCAAGTTTGCAATGTGGCCACCATGTTAGGTGGCTCACCATCACGGTGCACTGTGAATTGTTGGTATCAGATGGTTGGAAGCAATCGGCGGGAAACCTTGGACTAAGGTTTCGTGCTAGTTGGCATCAGGTATTCCTGATTTGCAGGTACGCCTTCCTGCCTACTGCCTCCAAGCAACTTTTAGCCATCTATTTAAATGGAGGTTATGTGCCATTGACTGATTGAATGATATAAGTGGTTGAACACTACTCACACCAACCAGTGATTTAAACGCTGGACGACCGTCTCTATGGTTTATGGCTAAGCTCATCATCTGTATGCGCCGTTCATTTCAAATCAACTGAATTCTAGCTAGCTACTTAAGCGAACCTATCGGATCGCAATATATTATCTGAATAATTTTGGGCTGAAATTTTACGTCAAACTGTGTTATTTGCGAATTGTGAATTCGATTAAATGAAGATTATTTGACAGAAGTCCTCTGGATGTTAAGAATGAATGTTCAAAAGTTCTTAAAAACATGCCCTCAAGACGTTGACAACGCTACTAGTGTGTACATACGGCATCATCAAAGTTCTGAATCTTTTCACCAATCTTTATCTAATTTAATCTTCATTATTCTTTGACTTCTCATACATCATTGGTCATTGTGTCATCAGAAGTGTGATAAGGTGAACTGATTGATGCATTCCTGTACAAAGTCTTAAATTGGCCTGTCTGTGAGCATTTGTACAGTATCTTGAAAGCTATACCCTTTCTTGCTTGAAATTGTCTGGAGATGAATTGATCAGTTAGTCACCAGAGTGACGGATGCGTTAATTCTCAATATATCCTTAGTCATTTCTGTAAAGATGTGCTGCAAATACTGAAGGTGTAAAAACTAATAACTTGGTGATTACTCTTAAAACTCTCAAAAGATGTTACCGACATCTATAAAAGCCATATGGTGTGCACCAACTGCCTTTCAAGCCTGTTTAACACATAATACTTTTTTTCAAACTCTATATTATTTAAGTAGAAAGTCTTGAGGACCAGAACACTAATTTTTCAAACATGTTCAATAGATTCAACTGTATTGATAGTTTTATTCAGTACTATTTGTTTAGCTGCAATAGTAAGATGAAATGTAAATACCGAGTTTACCAACTTTCCACATTACTGGTAATTTTTTAATTAGTTGTTGTAATAGTAGTGGGAGCACAGCCACCAGTGAATATCATCGGTAAATAACTATCTTTCCGTTCTACTTGACTGATTAAAAATACTGATCATATATTTTCATGATAACTTCAGAAATTCTATCTCCACTTTGGCATTTGAAACTATGGGCAGTGGGTTCGAGCCCGAGTGGGAACATCATCACTCATTGACTGGGAAATGCAGGTACATCCAACTGACGAGTCCCGAATAGGATGAAATGCGCATCCTGGATTCCACTCTTAGTCACCATCGCCCAATTAAATAATATTCTGTGTTTCTAAGCTTTGTTTTCAAGTCTAAAAAACAAAAACAAAACAGAAAAATCAACGAATTTATTTCTTGTATATAAAGATAATCTATGTAATGGTTCATTTTTTCTTTTTACCTTTATGACCACATGATTTTTCTAATACAAAGTTGTGCAAAACATACCATTTTTACCAAAAATAAAACATAGGTAATCAATTCGCCTGTCAGATAACAGTTGCTCCAGTTCGTAATGCCGAAGGTCAAGTTCGCTTGTACATTTTAACCTTTGTGGTTAGTTCCGAGTTAAGAAAAACAAAAAGTACAAATTCATCTAAGAAACCACCAAGTAAGTAAATTTCCCCACTTTGAAAAAAAATAATCGATTTATTTGTTTAATTTTCTGTTTATTTGTTTGTTTGTTGTTTTTTGGTTTTTCTTTCACAGATGTGATAAAATTGTCATCTTTCATCGTATTTAACTCACTCCTTATCTTTATCACACTAAACCAGTCAAACCGCTAGTGAATTGCTTTCATTATGTTTGCAAGAGACATAAACAATCACAGTGTCATATGACTCTAAAATGTCGGTGTCTGTTAGTGTTCAGTTATTTGCACTAAAGATATTTAATGTTTAGTAGACAGAATATAGCTGAATACAGTTAATGCTGCATCTTTTCGTTTTTATGCCAACTTACAAGTTACACTAGATAAGCACAGACTGTAGTCGGTTTGACGGGTTTGGAACTCAAGATCAAACCACTTGTTGAAAGACGATAATTTATTAGGTGTTATGATCAGCTTCAGGCGAAATTCAACAATAGCGTCCCATGAGTGCGAACGCTCCAATGACCTTGAAAGTTAGGCTTAGTGCTAAGTTTAGGGTTAGGGTAAGGATTAAGGTTACGGTTGCGGTTATGGATAGATTTAGAATTGATGACGTTTATTTTAATTTGTTCTCTTATCCACATTTTCCTGGTAAGTAGTCGTCGATCCTCTTACTGGAAACCATAATAATTCAACCGAGGGCTTTTGGGGAAGACTGCACAACAGGATAAGAGAGATAAACGATTCTCAAAAACAGCTCATCTTTATTCACCTCGGTGAATACATGCACCGAAACCAGTCTAACTTAGCAACTGATACTCCTCATTATAACTGGGGGGTATTTTTAAGTCATATCTGAGATAGATAACCTATTTAATGTGTTTTCATGTGCGAAAATTCCTCATTTTTATGATTGGTCGGCTGAACGTCACTCGTGCGTTCGCATCCCATGGGATGCTATTGTTGAACTTTGCCCAGTTTCACGCGAAATGCTGGTATTATGTTCACATAAGTATTAAATACATGTATTAGCATAATTATAAAACGTGGATGCTGTGTGAACGTGTATAATTCTAAAATTAGTTTCTATCTTGAGTTAGAGAGAGACACACATAGTTAATCGTTCGCATAATATCTATTACACATAGAGTCCCCAAATGAATTTTCAGATGTCCATCTCTTTATCCAGAGTACTAAGGTTTTAGAACCATTACCATATCCCATCTTATTATCATTCGTAGAGATAACTTTTTTTCTAGAGCTTTTCATCATATTTATGTTTACTACTGTAGATCCCCTATACTGTAATATTCCCCTGCCGGCGCACACCCGATATCTATGGTCGGCCTGAATTTGGGCTACCGATATCCATGCTGAAAATTCCATACTTGTACTGAAAATACGGTGTGGAATCAAGCTGTAAATCAAAAAGAAAATCAAAAAAAAACTAGTTTAATTAATTTTTTTTGGGGGGGGGTGGGGTGGGGTTTGAATACCTATGGACTAGATTAGTTTGTGTAATAGCTTCTATAGAATTTTTCAACAGAAAATACTTCCTGTTTAAATGAGCTTTTATGTCAAAATGTTGTCCCAATTATGAAGCTATGTTGAAAGTCCTATGGAGAATAATTGAAGCCAATTCTATTCACTATTGTGTAGCTGAATATCATATTTGCTGTAAATCTGTTTCCTTACCTGTAGATTTTTGTTATGCAATTGTGAATAGATCTAACATGATGGATTAGCAAGTTTTCTTTTATACGTCTTATTTCCTGTTGTAGATTTTCAGTCCCCACATTGCTTTGTAGTGTTTAAAAGTTGCTAACACTAGGATTTAGGACGAGGATACGGTTTAATTTAAGGCAGAGCCGATTTTAACTTAAGTTCATGTATAGATTTGAATGTATGAACTTCCTGTAGACACTTTTGTTGAAATTCCCATCTGAAATTTCCAAATCAATATACTTTGATCCTGATCATCGTTGTAAGTAATTCTGATTAAGACCACCACAGAAGTTATCTGGGCAAAATCCCAAATATATACATATATATGCATACATTCTGACTTCAACGCACATATCTCCAGATGTTTGGAGCGAGTTTGGACGTCTTAAAAGTTTTATGACCATATCTGCCACCGTTAGGGATATCGGTGATCCTATCCACCTGCCTACATATTCCATCTCGAGTTTGGAAGGTCATAGTAATCAGTCTTAACCGAACTTCTAGTTCAATAATGACTTCGCCTGATATCTTGTTTCAAGCAAGAATTCGTGGTCGGAGTTAAGCCTATTCCTGACTACCTTTAAAGCCTTGTTGATTAGTGCATGTAGACTAGAGCGGACTAACGCGAAAATCGATTCATTTTACGTCATCTTTTAGCCGTTTATTATTATTATTTAATTTATGCTTTAAATTGTAAGGATTATTAATTCAAATTTTGTTGGGAATCTAAATGAACCAAGTGCTATTTCACTGTGTGTTTCCGATGTCATCTTTGAATGTGATCAAGTAAACTTCCATATGAATCTGGATATCAACCAAAAATCTTTTCGAATTATAATTAGTATGTAATTCAGTGAAACATTTTTCACTGTTCTTCATCTCATGCACTCATAGAACTTTATTTAAAATTGGCTAATGTGATTGTCTAAAATCGAAAACATGAATCACTCCTATCACCATTATCAATAAGTGACTTTTGAAAAAAAAGTATTTTAAAAAGGTCTTTGCCACTTCCTGCTGTTATTATGACTCACTTTCATACATATTAAAAGGTATTTACCGGAGGATTTAGTATTCAGATTGCAGCGTATTGCATTCTAAGAGTCAACCGCAGCTATATAAAATACAGCAATCTGTCATGTAGTTCAGTCTGATTATATCCCTGACTGTGACTCTAAGTGGTGAATTGACAGAACTTATGATTTATAGTTTATTAGATTATGACACAATGAATGAATGCTAGAGTGTCTGAAAGTCCTGGGTGCACTACTGACGAGTCTCAGACTGTCAAATAATCTTTAGTTTTCAATAAAGCCCTAAGTGATATGAGGTTTTCACGAATACCACACATAAGTATAATTTTGCATACCGATAAGAAAACACTAGAAGATCCGGATATCGCAGATGATATATGTCTAATATCACACAAACTCGAAGACTTGCAGGCAAAAACCAACAAACTGGTTGATGAGGCTGGCAGCGAAGACAGGACTCCAGGTGGACATAGAGAAGACGGAGATGATGAAGACAACGAACCACCAGCAAAATAACCAGCATCAATCACCATCAACATGAGAGATTTTACAGAGGTTACTTCCTGACTTCACTTGTCTAGGAAGCATCGTTTCAACCACAGGCGACAGAACGAATGAAGATGTCATAGCCAACCAGAATCGGAAAGGCAAGATACGCCTTCACCAAACTGAAACCAGTTTGGAAATCTTCTGCATTGCACTCCGCAGCACAAAGAACAAGATTCGAATTGTATTCAACACAAATGTGAAGTCAGTCAGTCAGTGCTTCTCTACGGGTCAAAAACCTGCGCTGCGTATCACGGATAGGATTTCCAACAGGCCACTGTAGACTTTTGTCAACAGTTGCCACCTTCTCTGGCTGGCTCCATACTGAAGATCAAATAGCCAGCCGGCCGGCCAGAAAGAATTAGCAACAAGAAACTATGGCAGGGAACAAACCAAGCAAGAGCCGAATGCTCCACAAATATGTAGGAGAAAATGGAGATAGATCAGGCATACATTGAGGAGGCCGTCAAATGGCATCGCACTCCAGGCCATCGCTTTAGTGGAATCCAAATAGGAAGCGATGAGTAGGTCGTCGGTGCGATGGTGACACGGAGGAGATCGTGTGGCGAGGAGGAGATGAGATAATAATAATACCTGTTATTATTATTATCATTATTATTCTTGATTCATTTAAAACTATCCTTTATCAGTAGGATTATCTTAACTTACTTCAACAGTAGTATTATTATCATTATTATTGTTACTGTTATTATAAATATTACTATTGATATTACTCTGTTTGCAATTCTTGTTATGTTCTCTAATGTCTAATTGTTTATCTAAGTGATGTAATTGAAGCGTAATGCAATTTATCTTAATTTTGATCTCTCATACTCTCTCTCCCCTTATCTATTTGAACATGACCTGGAAAACATTCGCACCTGTCTTTCTGCATGACTAATTCAATGTAGTTTGTTTACTTAGCAGTCTTATATCTCCCAATGTAATTTCAAAAGTATATATATATCTGTGTATGTAGAGTATTCAGCTGACGAGTTCTGCCGAAATTTGATGAATTCACTAAATCCTGCTTTATTAACCTTTATTGCTTGTTTTAAATTCGTATCGGGAAATAAATGTTTTCAATTATCGTATATTTGTACCTTTATCTGCAACGTATCTTAAAGAAATTACTCTGTCTAATCGGACTACCTTTTTCTTCCCTCATCAGGTTTAGTGAAAGAAAGAAAAACTAGAAGTGGTTTCTTTCGAAAGCTGTTTGGTAGTCATTCTGGTGAATCGGTCGATGAAGAGGCTAAAACATCCAGTCAGTCAGTTATTGTACATGAACGTAATGATGGTACCAGACAACGTACATCTAAAGATGAACCAGAAAACTCTACTTCTGCTATTTCAACTGGTTAGTTGTATATAAAGTGTTTGAACAGTTATGCTAATTTCATGCATTATTCTTATTTGAAGGTATCACTTGTTGATTGATTGGTTACTGGTGTGTAACCAGTGTCATATGTCTAGTCCATAACTTTGGTGCTGACTGAATTCTGTCAGTTATTTATGCGATATATAGTCACTAGGCCAGATGACCTAGGTCCGAGGCTTCCTTCTTTCTGGTTGCCTCCAACCTTCTGATAGTGGCATCACTATGTATGTCTTGTCGTTAGGGTTTTATGTTTGGATAACTTTTATTTAGTTAATGATGGCTAACAGTGGAATTCAACAAGCGTACTCGTCCTGCTTGGAAGTTGTCAGCGTAATGAACCTACATCTTAGTGAGTGATGGTGTTTCGATCGAGACCGGAATGTAGCACCTATCGTTTTGAAGATCATTGAGTCGCTACTGAGCCAATGTCTCCACCTCTTCTGTAGAAGCTATCAGCTGTTATTCATTGAATTCATTTTGTTTCTGGATTTTTCGTTGATCGATTTTACTGGACCGAGATTCTTGGTCTCTTTTGACAAGCCGCAACCTAGTGCAGATCCTTTGACTTTGCTTTGGCGTTAACTAGATGTTGCTTACCAATTTAGCAGTGTGATAAGTTAAGTGATCAGAATTTTGCCAACATCACCAGCTTTATTTAACACCACCTGGCGTTGTGGGTCTTTGGCTTAAGCATTTGGCTTTTAAACAATGGGCCCTGGGTTCGAATCCTTTTCAAATTAATTTAACCTGGACAAATGGCCAGTAACATTAGCCCTCAAACAACAATTGCAGTTTATAGCCCACACAGTTTAGTTTTAATAACAGTTCTAAGAATGCCTGGTTCGGTGTAATTGAAATCAGTTTCCTCGTGGTTGCGGACACACCTTGTTGACGAGTGTCAATAAGCATGTAGCCCAGATTCAAGGCTTGCTACCGATTGCCTATAAGCACATAAGATCGAATTATTCTGACATTTATTCCACAAGTTTAACTATTCTTTAGTAACCGAAAATCAGCATATGCGAAGGGAAGACTAGTAAAAAATTTGAAGTGTGAGTGCATCTGCACTACAGTGAATACATTTTGGTTAACTACTTTTTAAAGAGACCTTATTCACTGATTCTTAGCATCTTGAAGTATCTAGTAAGTAATGATAACCTCTGGATCAGAACCTGTTCAATCAACTGACAGATCAAAAACCGGAAACTGAAGATATAAAGGGATTGATTGAAAGTTAAATTAGTTGACATTGCTAATCACTATCTTGTATCAACAAGATAATGATTTGAGGATGCTGCCAAAAGAGCACTAGAAAACGCTAAATTGTCTCAAAGGTAACAGTCAAATGGTAATGTTACTGTCGGGTGAAAGTCCAAATGTTGTAATAATGAATAAAGAAGATCACATTGTCAAGACGAACTTAATTCTACAAAATCCTCTAAAATTCAGATCTGAATGATTCAACTGATAGGCGAATCACAAGGATGCTTAAGTATCCTCTGATAGAGAAACTCATAAATAATTTCACAGATAATATTCGAGACCAAAGGGTCTCGTCTAACTTATATATATATATATATATATATATATATGCTAGTAACGCTACACAGGGAAGGTGTGCCGCTCAAACAGATACTATCCATGGTAAATTTACTACAGCACAGTCATGGTTTTTTCGGCGGCTGAAGATTTGGAGCTAATGACTAACTTCAAATACTGTGGCAAATTAGTTTCAATTCGTCAAAAAACTGAAGTATTCGGATGTTTCCAGTAAATTTGTGGCATCGTTCGATACAGATTACTATTCGGTGTGTTGTTATTGCACTGTCTACATTCAAAAAAGGAAATACCTAAATGAAATTTTGATATCCCTGTATAGCTTAGATCAAAAGTCACGAATATTTATTAACAATGGTTATATTTTTATTATCCTGTAGCGAATTATTTCGAATTGTGTGGACAAGCATACTTAACAAGAGTTGGAAATATTACCTAATTTACTCTTAATAAATTAATTTATTCGCAGATCGAGATTTAAGCTGTGCTTGCTTGATGCAATCGGGTGAGCTGAAACAACCTATACCACGTGCTCATTCTGTGGTCAGTGTTCCATTAAATGTTCCAAAAGAATCGAAACGAAGTCGTAATTATTTAGTATGCAGAGGTCAGTCAACTGCAAGTTTATCTTCACATGTTTCTCCCGGGAATTCGACTATCGGTCTTACACGTGGATGCGGTGGAATTGTAGTCAATACTGATTCATGGACAGCAACTCGTCGCCATGTTTCAGATAAAGTTGCTGAGGTTAGTTATTTTAAAAGGCAATTGTATTATTATCGGTTTTCCACATCATGTGCATGTTTCAGCTTCGAAGACACTGTCGACTGACTGTCTATTTTACGAAGAAACCGACATGTTACAGGAGTGATTAAATATTTTTCAAAAAATCTGAATCCTCCCGGAAGGTATCTGTACACCCGTTAAATACAAAGTTGTAATAATATAGGACTAATCTGCAGCTTCGTTTCGCTTAAAAATAGGTAGCAAGGCTGTTGAATTTGTCGACCTTCGAACTTATTTAAGAAAATGTTAAAATGGGTCTGAAGTATTTGTCACTTCCTCAGTGCATTATTATTCAGTTCCTTGCATTCCGAGAGGGGCTTAAGGCCTCAGAGAAGAATTCCATTTACAATTGCTTCTATCCCGTTACTTTCAACTGGCTCCATGACTTAACAAGAGCTGTTATTTTCTCCTCACATCATCTCTATGTCATCCTCTGACTTTCATCTCGTTGTTCCATTATGGGTAAATTTTATTTTGATAAAGTCTCACAGTGTTATACATTAATATTTACTGATGACGTTTCGAGCACAATTTATTGCTCATAATCATATCAAGGTAATCACACGACTTCCTAATTCATTTATATAATTCCGTTGTTTTTCACTTGATTTGATTGGTAGTATTATTTTCCATATTTCGGGTATGAGTGATGAATCATTCTTATTGCATGTGTTGGGTGTAGATTCGATGTTCATCGAATCGATTACCTTGATATGATTATGAGCAATAAATTGTGCTTGAAACGTCATCAGTAAATATTACTGTATAACACTGTGAGACTTTATCAAAATAAAATTTACCCATAATGGAATTACACTCTACCACAGTGCCCAAGTTTTATTCTTTCAACTTGTTGCTTCTCATTTGGGTTCTGCTTGTGGACCTGTCATTCAATGTTACTTTTAGAGTATGTCCAAACCATCTGGATTTTTTTCTTATTTCTCCTGTACTCTAAGCAGCCTTGCCAGCCTCAAGCATTGTGTGGAAATTTCATGTCCCTACACTTGACCAAAAGAAAGTAAGAAAAGTGACAAGTTGATGAACACTACAACACAAGGTTGTTTATGTGTCTTGCTGTGAAGAGTGCCAAGAAGCATGAAATCTAGATCCAGGGTATTCTGTTGATTGCCTTCAACCATGTAACGATGATATGAGGAATAATCGTCGGCTATGTATGCAGATGTGTGTCGGTGGCACAGAGGTAAAATGCTCGCCAACCACGCATGTGTTCCGAGGTTCGATCCCCGGCCGACGCACTCCTAAACCTAGGCAAGCCAGTAATAAGACTGGTAAATAGGGAAGGTTGGGCATGAGGCTAGCAACCCCATCCCGTAGAAAATGAACGCCATTGCTACCGAAACTTCAAGCCTCTAGCTTGAACTTGAAGGAATAAAAAAAATGTATGCGGATGGAAATGGAGATGGACCAGACATACTCTGAGGAGATCGTTAAGTAACATCGCACACTAGGCCATCGAATGGAAACCGGAGTGCGAATGGCGAGTTGGGCATGAGTCCGAGGGTGACATGGAGGAAGGAGGTTGTGTGAGCTGGAGGTGAAAGCTTATACGCAATTGTGAGGCCAACTAAAAATGGCTGCAAATGAGGGGATGAAATAGAGATGTTCTGTTCGGCTCGGAAACTAAGGGAACAAAAATTATATATATGTATATATATATATTCTTAGATAGACGATAGTGTGTTATTTTGCATTTTCACTTCAAGGTTAAAAGTTTCTTCGTGAAAGCTACGAAAAAAATAGGTACTGTGTATTTCACTCGAAGATAACTTCACTGGATAATGCAGGAAAAATTTGACTAGTTATTGTTTATATTATAAACAAAAGGTAGGCATACAATGGTTCAATGATCAAGTATTGATAGTGAGAGAATAGCCTGTAACTGATGTAACATGTAGTCGGATTCATTTAATTAGTGGATTACTGTAATACTATTGTTCCTTTTACTTTCTGTCAACCGGTAGGTTGTTATACAACTTGTAATTATGCGAAACATGAGTACAAATAAACTTCTCACTACATATACATATGTATATATATAATCTCTTACTGGTGAATAGTTTGTTTTTTATGCAATGTTGGAATATCGAGTTTAGGACTGGTGACGTCACCAGCTTTAAAAGGACTTGTCGAACACTTAGTTGCGTACCAGTCACAATGTTATTTTGCTTGATAATACATAACAGAGAAATCTAAATTGTCTATTTTGTTTTGTTCTTCGTACACGTAATTCCCCTGGCAAATTGCTTTAAGGTAAACAAGACTAAATTTGCGTTATGAAGCTAATATAATCATTCTGTTTTACAGATTCTCATCAGAAACAGACTGTCTGTAATTGCAGTGATTGTTAAAAAAATGACAATAACAACATAATCATCTAGTGTTTGAAACACTGGTTACTCGGTTCAAGTTCTTTTAGGGACTCGATCATTAACTGTAATCTGGTGGACTCTCCAACTGAACAAAACTTGTGTCTTAGATGCTACTGCTAATTATCACTGTTATTATTATTAGAGGCGATGGAAGCACTTTGGATTAATCACATACATCCTAAACTAGATGTAGAAAAAAAAACAGTAGACTTCAACCTTCTCCTACCATGGACTACTTAATCTATTTAAATATGACTGGCCATTAGTATGTATTATATATATTTATATAACAATAGTTGTCATGCATTTTATTTTATTTTTGTGAACCATGTTAGTTGTAAAGCGATTGTAAAAAAAACTACGAAATGACGAGATATCATCTCGCGAAATTTGTCTTTTAAAGGCCTTATTCAAATTCATCAAAGAGACCAATTGTTTTAATAATTATTAAATAAAATATATTAAGGCAAAGATTAAGGCGATGTTGAAACATGTGTCCATTGAACGGATATACTAAATCTGAGTTATACTATTATTGTTTCCTTTAATTCCTGGAGGAACATAGGGCTTCAGCCGTGCGTCTCCATTGCGTTCGGTTCTCTGCTAGAGTCTTCACCTGGCTCCAAGTCTGCCCACATGCTTTCATCTCCTCTTCACATGACCTCCTCCAAGTCACCCTCACCCGCGCACTGACAACCAACTTGCCGCTTCCCTTTCGGGCTCCGCTCGAGCGATGGCTTGTCTAGTGATGTCACTTGATGGTTTCCTCAGAGTATGGCCAGCCAATCCATCTCCATTTCTTCCTACCTGTTTGTTTCACAATCGGTTCCTGGTTGTTTCGCTCCCAGAGATCTCTGTTGCTGATCTTTTCTGGCCATCTGATCTTGAGTATTGAGCGAAGACAACTGTTAATGAAGGTCTGTAGTTTGTTTGAGATGCTCTTTATGACGCGCAGTGCAAGTCTCTGATCCGTATAGTGAGTAGCACTGACTTCACATTGGAGTTGAAAATCCGGATCTTATTTTTGATGCTGAGTGCTGTCGACCTCCACACAGACTTGAGAGTAGTGAAAGCTTGTCTTGCTTTTCCGATTCTTGCTTTGATATCCTCGTCAGTTCCGCCTGTAGTTGAAACGATGCTTCCCATGGTAGGTGAAAGAGGTTGTTTCTTTCAGATTCCTTCCATTTATGCTGATTGTTGTTTGTTGTTGCTGTTGATAAGCTGAGTTCAACCTTATTACTGCTCGGAAATAAGTAACTTTTTACATATTTCAACGGAGACTATCTTTTAACTTTTCTCAGAGTCATTCCTATACACATTAACACAGGATGCACAGTGTCTTTAGTTAGACTTGATGTTATGGAGCCGATGTGCGTCGCTGGCACAGTGGTTGGGACTCTCGACGACCATGCACATGGTCCGGGGTCCGATCCCCTGCCGACGAACACCTGTTATCTATGGTCGGCCCGCAAAATTTGGGCTACCGATATCACATGCTGAAAATTCCATACCTGTACCAAAAAATACGGTGTGGAATCAAGCTGTAATCAAAAAAATAACAATAATGTGCCGATGGAAAGTGAACACTTTGTTTCAATAAAATCGAACGATACGAATTTCCAAAGCTTCAATGAATAACAGTTGTTACCCCTTACACAACAGGTAGCCACTATGTGGGTCAGTAGACCATTAGATAACGCTTTAGTGTTTCAAAACGTAGATAATAGGCTCAAGTTCAGGTGAGGTCACCATCCATCTGATGAGTCTGAAATAGTAGGAGACTCGCCTCCTCTAGTCTACCGCCAAGCACCATAAACATAATACCGTAAATGTTTGTTGTGAGATCACCTTTTTTTGATAGTTTCTCTTGATGATCGCATTACAACTAACTTTTGAAATGCAAAGCGACATCATCTAGTAAACTTTGTCTACTGAACCGATCGGGAAAAGACTAATATTCTTCTATAGAAATGTGAAATGATGCCTGTATGACTACGAGAAATGCCTTGTAGGCTATCTGGATACTGAATACAATGGGACACTTGCTCTATGCATTAGTGACGACTGTTCCTCTCTGCCAATACCTTGTGTTTCACTTCGGCTCAGTTGTATCAGAGGACTACCTTTTACTCGACAAACAATATCTTATTTTCTATACAACTTTAATACTCATAATAATGTACTAGACAAATGATTTATGAGAGCTTGTCTGGTTACATTAACACAAAGCTGTTCCTTAGGAATTACTTTTAACCTGGGAAACTTGTTTATAATGTGGTCAGCAATCAACAGTGAAAAATATACTGTTCCACTTTTTGCTTTCCTTCTCCTCCACTATAATCAGATGTAATCAAATTAAATTGTAGTTAGTACTTTTTACAAGTAATTATGGAAACCATTTTGTTTTACATTATATATATATATATTATTCACTTGCTATCGTTACTTTTTGTCTGACTTGTTATAATGCGCGAAATTTTTTGCCGTAATTTAACTAAAAATTGTTCAAGTTTAGTTGTGCAACTAGATGCAGTTTACCCTGGATAACTTTTAAGATATTTGTTTTATCATTTTTTGCGTTTCAAGTAGAACATAAGGGTTTAAATGGTGATGGTGTTGTCTTCTTTTCAGGGGTAAGGTTGCTTGCCCCATGCCCAATGCTTCCTCTTTTCTCGGCCTACTATTGGATAGTAAACTAGGCAAGGTTCAGGAATGTGTCGGCTGGGAATCGAAATCACTCCACGTACTCGGTTGGTTAGCATTCTGCCACTAAGCTATCGACACAGTTTCCAGAATGGCGTTTTATAATTTATATTTCTAGACACACCTAATCCCCATCTCATCTTATTTGGAACTTGTCAGCTGGATGTACCTACAGTCCCCAGGGAGTGATGCTGTTCCCACTGAGACTCCAACCGAGTGGCCTACCTTTCAAACGGTGAGGCTTTATCGACTAGACCACTTGGGCCACGAGAGCCAACTCGTGTGTGACAGGCATCAGTTGACATGTCAACAGAAACCAAACACTTCCATCTAATCAGTCAACAGAGAAGTCAAAATTAGTTTCAGCAAATAACAGTTAATCTCCGTTATGTTGTATTAATATAATTGCACAACTTGGACACTGTGGTAGTATGTTCTCTGAAAAATACCACCCAGTGAAACAGTACTATTTTACTGGATAGCGTTTTAAACAAAAATTTTGCTGGTCAAAGCAAGAAAATCAAGATTTGCGCTACATAGTTTTTTTAAATGTTTTTCTATTCCTTCACGTTCCCAGTGGAAAATAGTGCTTCAAGCTAGAGGCTTCAAGTTTCTGCAGCAGTGGTGTTTATTTTTACAGGATGGGGTTCCTAGTCTTAACATTATTATATTATTATTATTGTTCCCTTGGGTTCCTAGTGGAACATAGGGCTTCAACTGCACGCCTCCACTTGCTTCTGTCTTCTACTGTACTTTTCACTTGCATCCATGTTAATCCATACTGTTTCAGTTCCTCATCACACGATCTCCTCCATGTCACCCTTGGACGTCCCACTCACCGCTTCCCTTTCCCGTTCCACTCGAGCACTGGCCTGACGCGCGATGTCACCCAGCGACCTCCTCAGCGAATGTCCAATCCATCTCCACTTTCTCCTGCATATTTGTCGAGCGATTGGTTCTTGTTTTGTTTGTTCCCATAGTTTTTTGTTGGTGATTCTTTCCGGCCATCTAATCTTCAGTATAGAACGAAGACAGTTGTTGATAAATATATTTAATATATTTTCGAGACTTCTCTTCAGCTGCCAACAGCCTGAAATATATGCATAGGATTGCTGAAATAGGAGTCCGCACTTCGTTTTTATTATACTCATCAGAAACTAGGCACAAAGATCGTAGTTTTATGAAACAGTAGAGAGTGTTATGTGTTGGCGTAAAACATTACAACTGACATGAAAGGTAACTAGTTACTTATAATTATTCTGGTGAATAGCTTATAAAAGACACTAATATTAACCAGCAGAAGAAACACATAAGAAGAATATTATATGGTAATATACAAAACAGCTTCCGGAAGTGATATGTAATAATAATGAGAGTTGTAATAGAAAATAGGACGCATAATTACGCAACAACGTAAACTGAAATTAATCCTTTTTGTTTACACAGGTTGGATTTAAGCTGCCAGATAGTAGTAGATTCCACACAATCTCGGTATACAACTTATGGTGTTGATCGGATCAACTTACAATACATGCAATAGGAATTATTCAACATGTGTCACACACATCTGGGAAATTTTATTTTTTATTTTTATTATAGCTTGAAACCACACAGTAATTTTGGTACAAGTATGGAATTTTCGCATGTGATATCGGTAGCCCAAATTTTGCAGCCGACCATTGATATTAGGTAGCGTCGGCAGGGATTGAATCCCGGACCATGTGCATGGTCAGCGAGAGTCCTAACTGCTGTGCCACCGACGCACAAAGCGTGTGTCGGAAGTGGGATTCTACCCTTGCGACTAGCACGAAGGAGAAGAAGAACTATAAAAACTGAGTTTTGAAGTTGTTTGGTATTCACTATGTGCTACACAATAGCGTGTGTTTTAAGTCTGTTTTCAACACTTTTGCTTGAGAAAATCGATAGCATCACATTTGAATCGATATGTGTTACTTAACATCATCAATATTTTTGTTTATTTCCTGCTCATCTTGATCGTATAATTGGCTGGATAATTTGTCAGAATGTTTACAAATGTTGGCGATGCTTAGTTCGTAGAAATATGGCTTCTTATAGGTTTATAACAGTTTTACTATCGGAATGGCTTTAGGCAGGCTGAATGATGGTCAGGACACTACTAAACCTAACCACTTTCGACTCTATCTATCGTGATTGGGATTATTACTGGGGTACAACCATAGAAAAGCTTCTAATTAAAGCAGAACATGTAGCGAATATTGAATATTTCTGCAGAGGATATTGGTATTGCACGTTTTTTATAATTTGACAAAAATTTGTGTATCTTCTTTGTTTTCATTAGTTTTATTACTATTATTATTATTATACAGATGTTATCAATGGGACCTGAGCTGAATCCAGAGCAAAAGTTACACTCCCCACGTATTCATCCATTCACCTTAAAACATTATGGACCTGTAAAAGCTGTATGGGATTGGCTTGTATTAGGTTTTGTTATTTATACAGCTGTATTCACTCCGTATGCAGCAGCTTTTCTACTTCCTGATGCCAAACGTAAACGGCGGCACAATGTAAGTTTACTTTATCAATATTTATTTCTGAAATATAGATTTCGTCTCACAACAATGTCTTGTAGGGAACCATTGAAAAACAGGGCTCACTACACGGCTGTTTCATTCTAATTTAGGACTTATTATCATTGAAAACCGCATTAGGGATCAGAAGTAATCCCTTTAGTTTGTGAGACTAGTCCGTTGACGATTTAGTCAATGTGTTGGTATTCAGTGGTCAATTCGCTGTACAGGACTACGGCCAAGCAATGCCGTCCACTTCATCCTAGCATTGAGGACCCTATCGGTAGTGACTTCTCATTAGACTCAGAACATCTACTAATGGGTTTGAAATTATTAATCACATTTTGAACTTGTAAGGATTTTGATCAAATTCACTGTAGATTTTTCAGCCATGTTATTGAAAAGAAAATATTCCATTCAAACTGTTTTGTTTCGATCTCTGTCAGGGCCTTGTGTGCACACTTTGGAAAGTCCCAAGCTTATGCTTCTCAAACTTCACTGATGTTATTTCATCACTAAATACACACTGAAATTAACCAAAATACCTGAAAAATCGAAAGTTACTTGCTATTGTCAACACTACATTTGAATTGTATTCAACTGCCATTGTTTTGTCTTCTATGCAACGATTTCTGTACAGGTATCAACCAGCAACGCTTGTTAGCGAGATCGAGGTTATCTAAGCACCAGAGAGTTTAGTTCATTAGAGGTGGATCCAACTTAACTCAGCCGAGAGAGCCAAATTAGTTCATAACACTCACTTTCTCGCTATTTACTTCAGCGAACTGGTAATCCCATATATCATATTCTCAATTTGCACAGTTCGAGGCGAAATTTAAACAGATTTTCTTTTGGAAACCAAAACCATTCATTGAAAATCTGGGATCACCGGATAGATGTTTCGTCCTAATTAGGGACTTTTCATCATTGAGTACCAATAACCGCACAAAGGGTCGAACTGGACTGTATTCAGTTATTAATCCTGTATCACTGTGTGTTATACAAATAGACTTATCTGATACAGATTACTTATCGTGATGTGAATAGTTCTTGAATTTCGATCGTCCTGTATTCGGCCACTTCAGTCTGGTTAGCAACCACAACTGGTTGATATGGGTAGTATGCATCTACTCATTTCAGCTAGTCAGTAGCATATATAGTTTTATGCATTTACTCTTGGTTTCTGATTACCATTTATAGTCTCAATCAGATCAAATACTGATGTCTAAGTAATTTTGGTTTCCATAGGAAACTCTGGTGAAATTTCACCTCGGACTGTGTAAATTGTGCTTCTAATAAGAAGCCTTTATTTATAGGTTTAAGTAAGTCGCTTTATTAATTGTCGATTGCGTAGTGATAAACGTACTGCATTGGAAGTAACTAATCCTTACACAAGTTCTGATTTTTATTTATAATATAACCATCGCTTAATTTTTAATGGTCATGAGTTCTACTTTAGTTACAGGAATTCATCATGAGCTGACATTAGCTAGAGAACCATTGGAAAACCTGGGAGTACTAGCGGCTTGCCCTATTCAGGTAGGTAGTTACCTGGGGTTCTAGTGAGAAGTCGTAACCAGTAGGGTGCAGCAGGTCAGGTGTGAGGACAAATACTCGCCGAAGACATTGGCTATGTCGTGAATTGGCAGAAGTTAGAATTCATGGGCTGGCCATTGGATTGGGTCCCAGTGGCTTAATGGTATACGGGCTCACCTTGTAACCAGAAGGTCCTGGGTTCGAATCACGATGGGTGCGTACTGATGAATAGTCCCAAACTAGGACGAAACAGCTGTCCAGTACTCCTAGGTTTTCCAATGGTTCTCTAACCAATGTCAGCTCATGATGAATTCCTGTAACCAATCAAACCCCTACAAACCAACACTTGAAGTTCTACTTTAGTTGATGGAAGGGAATCCCTACTGCTGCCTAGTAGTGTCTTGAGAATATTTATTTAGTGAATATCGCTTTGTGATTAATAAAATCTGAAAAGCGGTGGAATATTATTCAATAATAACATACATTTCTACGGACTTGGCAGTGTAAGGACTGATGGGACTGCCTGGCTTTCTAGATATGTCACTTATATGGAGCAATCTTCTAAGACATGAGCCTAACCTCGAAATTTATAATGAAAACTTACACCACTGACTAAATCACTTCTTTTTTTTATTCCTTTACTTCCCCAGTGGAACTTAGAGCTTCAAGCTAGAGACTTGAAGTTTCGGTATTAGTGGTGTTTTATTTTTCGGGATAGGGTTGCTAGCCTCAGGCCCAACCTTCTGTCTTTACCAGTCTTATTACTGGCTTAGCGAGGTGTGGGAGTGTATCGGCAGGGGACCGAACCCCGAACCGCCTACGTGGTTGGCGAGCATTCTACGCTGTGCCACCAACTCACTGAATCACCTAAATTACTACAAAAGCGTAACTTTCTCCTTGCTTATCATTCATATCCCATTGTAACCGTAGTATTCCAAATCAGCCTCATATTCATTTGTTGTTAACTCACCAGGAATAAATCTTTCTTGCACACCAGGCTATAGGCGCCAATTTTATTGTTAGAAGGTTGATAATGCCATCCAGTTTTGTATTACTTATTGATTTAAACATAAACTGGATATTATATTGGCACTAAGACATGCACCCTACTCAAAACAATACAAAGCAATGCATGGAAAAGAAGGAGAAAAGTCGAGGAACATCATCGTGAAAACAGGCCAGCTCACTTATGTAAGCCGTTTAAGGAGCATTTATCACTTCATATTACTGCAAAAAAGAGCTAGGGAGAGAAAACTACAGCATATTCACCATTAATTACAATTCTCAGATATATTTAATTACATATCATTCAGTTGTTTAGTCTGGAGGTGGGGAAGCAGGTTATGAACTCAGGATGCATTGACCTGATAGACGAATGCTTAATAACAGTGAGCAAGCCTCATCATCACTCTAGCTTACATTCATTGTGATATATTCTGTTCTCAGACACGTAGTATATGCATCCATCTTTTATAACACACAACTGGTTAGCTTTGTTTATGTGATGAAACCATTTTCTAATGTGTACCGTAGAAACGTTCTAGATTAAGACGACAACACTAAGATGATTCATTTTGTTTCATTCCTTTGCGTTCCAAGTGGAACATTAGGCTTCGAACATGAGCTTTAAAGCTTCAGTAACAGTGGTTTTGTTTTAAGTATTGCTTTTGTAGGGATTTTGTTTAATTGCATGGAGGATTTCATCATGAGCTGACATCAGTTAGAGAACCACTGGAAAACCTGGGACCACTGGACAGCTGTTTCGTCCTAGTTTGGGACTCTTCATCAGTACGCACCCACCGGGATTCGAACCCAGGACCTTCTGGTTACAAGGCGAGCTCGTAGACCGTTGAGCCACTGGGACCCAATCCAATGGCCAGCCCATGAATTCTAACTTCTGCCAATTCACGACATAGCGCGACCATTTCGCAATGTCTTCTTCGATGACTTCCTGCCTCATCTTCAACCTGCTGTATCCTACTGGTCACGGCTTCCCACTAGAACCCCAGGTTAACTGCCTGAATAGGGCCAGTCACTAGTGAGCATCAGATTAATTTTCAAGTATTGGTTTTGTTTTACACAGTGGTTGTCTCACAACCAACCTTCTGTCTCTACCGGGCTCATTACCGCCTGAGGGAGGTTTAGGAGTGTGTCGGTCGGGAATAGAACCATGTACCAAGTGAGTGGTTAGTGAGCAGTCTACCGTCGAACCACTAACGTACAACCACTATCCACTAGGCCACCTTGGGCCACAGTCATTCTTCCAGTATTATATATATATATATATATATATATATAACTTGGTATATCCATCAGTACTATTTCCTCGTGAGAAACTTTATTGCTTAAACTGACTTTAAAAATTTTGACATTTTATATGATTTTCAGAATTCTAATTCTAATTCCTATTTTTTATGACTGACAGTGGTAGAGTTTTATTCTTAAAATATGTCTGAAACAGGTGCTAAATCGTTGCTTTCTACATGTTTTTGACTTTGATGCAATAAATGAATCTTCATTTACCAGTCTGTCATTTTTTGCCTTCAACCTGTTTAACCCATTTCTATTACTATCACTTTATCTCTCATCTGGTTTTATGGTTGTGCAAGCAAATGAATGCATTGCTATAGTTAAGGTTTTATTTTTAGATCTCTAAAAAATCTTAATAGGTTCCAGTGTGCTTTCGAAACAAATTGAAGCACTTTTTATAGGAATACCTCAAGCCCTGGTCCAGATGTCCTGAATACTCTATCACTTCTGCTTCCAGTCAAAAAATTAGGGGAGACTTAAAAGTTTGGGAATTAAGTCACTTGTTACTGGAAATTTTCTTTATTATTATTGTTACCATTCCTGGCTGATATACTCTTGAACTTCACCTAGCCAGTAGTAAGCCCGGTAAAGGGGAATGATTGGGCATGAGGCTAGCAACCCAACCACACCATCTCTTCAAGCCCTGTGTTCTCTTCAGAATACAAGAAAATGGGAAGAAATACAAATATTTGAGGTAGTATTTGAGTTGGCAGTCTATTGGTGTTGGTGTTAATGGGTGATGATTTAAGGTGTAGTAAAAATCTACGTCACCACAGAATTCAAATCAGCCTCCTCTGAATCACTAGCTCAACTCTCGGCCAACTGCACTACGACACAGAACTGTGAAACCAGGCCGACATCCTCCTCACTTCATCTTCAATCAGCTCATAAGGTGTCTCAGATAGTCTCACCATTAATAAACATTTATTGTGACATGTTTAACAAGCAAACTATAAACACTGTGTTAAGTAACTACTTTTTTTCTATTTCATTGGTTCTTGAGTTAACATCCTGTTTATTCTTTTCGGTTTGAACAAAATAAGAACAACAAAAGGAGCAGGATAACATGACTGCGTATTCTTGCTTTGTTCAAGTTCATCAAAGGGAATATAGCTGTATTAAATTCGTTCTAACGTATCTCACTATTTCGA